TAACATCATTTAAAGCATAAATACCTATAACACTATAAATTTGAGCAACATGAGCGAATAATAGATATCACAATTGCTCATAGATTAATAAATCCATGATAACCTGAACAGGTGCGAGGTATCTACTTCAAATTACTCTTCATTCGTTCAGTTTTTTGTGTTGGCTAAAAACCCACCAAAACTCATGCTAAAGATATGTTATTTTACGCCATTCACCATGGTTTTGGGAAGCAAAATTTTAAAGGAAAAAAAAGCATAAAATCCCCAAATTTCTGTGTTTTTTTTTTGGGCATGAAAATAGAATTCTAATGCCTACTCTAGCTTGACAATTCATATCACTGACTGGCACAGGTTTTGGGGCCATCACCATGCGAATTGCTTAACTCTGAAACCTAATTCAACATAGGTATGTATGTAAAAGCAAGGGAAGACAACACAAAGTTATTTGAAAGTCAACAAAATGAAAATTGAATGCAAAAATTTTAAGCGGAAACCTTCCATTTTCATATAAAATAAAGTAAAACAACTGGGGAATTGTTGGGGAAAAGTTATTGCAACATCAAACCAACTCCGTGTAAAGACTGGCTTCTCTTCTTTTACCAAGCATCTCATTCACTAATCACGCCCTTTTTTTTTTCTGAAATAACAAAATAAACCCATGACACTGAAAAGAAAAAAAGAAAGAAAGAAAGAAACGTGTGGTATGAACAGAAATAAGCAAATAGTTTCATTTTTCATATGAATTCGATAAACGATCCACTTGTCAAATGAATTCGTATGCCTGGTAGTGATAATATTTGCTTGCTAAAAATTTAGTTCTAAAGCCAAATCTCAAACGACAAAATAAAAGAACAAGAAAATCATCAAACAGAACTAAACCCTAAATCCTTCATATTCACGAAAAGGAAATCGATAAAAGGCGAAAGAGAAATCGAAACTCAAAATAACCAATACTAATACCAGTAAATAAGAAATTCGTTTTACGATAAACGATAAACGATTAAAGATCGAACCAAAAACATAAATATCGGAGGGAGAGAAAGCAAATAGTAATTATAAAAGGTTCAAGAGCTTGGATCTTACGGATTGATTATTTGGAGAAATCAACAGTGATATTGATGTGAGGTAAGAAGAAGAGAGTTACATAGAACTCCCTCTTTCTTCCTCTATCTGTTGTTTTGTAGAAGAAGAAGAAGAAGAAAGCGCAGAGAGCGAAGTGAAAAATAAATGGAAGGAGATCGGGCTCTGCTGAACGCAATTACGAGCCGCTGTTCCAAATGCAAGGGACGCTCCCTTAATATCAAGACAACGATGTCCTTGTCACTTGTCACCCGATTTGATCTCCAAAACGGTTCGTTTTCAATAGCCTTTTTTTTAAGGCTTAAATTCCAAATGCGGCGAATTAATAATTTATTTACTATGGTTTGAAAAAGTATTTTCATAACAGAAGTGTGTAATTTTATTATGTTAAAAGTACCTTATTAACAATATAAATATTAGTAAAAAATTACATTAGATAATATAAGTATACATTTTGAAGTATGTTAGTTAAATATTTTTTTAAATAATACTACATTACTTATAGGGCACTCGGAGTATGCTCAATGGCACGATGATTAATTTGCTATTTTTGAAATTTAGTTAGAGACTCGTAACGTAAAATGATAATTTATGAGAATTATGCTACAGGAAAGATATTTAATAAGTATAAGTTTGAGAGTAAACTTTATTTACATATAAAAAAAATTAAAAATACAATAAAAAAAAGTTTATGTTAAAAATTGAATTATGGCCAAATATATATTTTTCGTACGATAAATAATTTATTTATTATCTCATTACGAACTTGATTATAATGAATGTTGCAGATGATGAAAAAATTGTGAAAAAAAATATATTGGATCTATTTTAAATAAAAATTATTATTTAAAAATTGAGAAACATTTATAATATGTTTATAAAATAAGTATATAATGATAGTAAAATGACAAAGAATATTTAAAAATTAAGACTCCAAATAAGATTAAATTTTTTATTTAATTCTACTATCATGATTTATTATTAATAAATAAATTAAGTAATAAATAATTATATATAAATACTTGAATTATCATTAAAAAAATAAATGTTGCATATTTTAAGTGTATCACCTCGTACTTGCAAACGTGTGGCGAATGATGTTACTTTTGATGGAGCAGTATCTATTGGCAAGTGCGAAATAAGATGATTATTTCAAGTTGTAATTTAAAAGAATATATATATATATTTTTTATATAAGTTTACATATTTTTTAAGTTTAAAAAATAAATTATAATAAAATTTTATACATTAAATAATTCAAAATTCAAAATTTCACCAGAAGATAATAATTTTCTTTTGAGATACAGTACATAATAAATTTTTTAAAAAAAAAAGTAAAAGAAAAATTTATATCGGTAAAAAAGTTGAGGTAAAAAATAAATAACATAATAGTTCATCTCGCGGGTTTAAATTGATTATGCATGTGTAAACTAGATAATTGATTCTCCCGTTTAAATCTATCATTTGCTGCTCCCCCTGTTCATCCCGAGAAAATCTGGTCTTCCAATCTTCATTTCCTCAATGAGCATGGTGTTTCTGTCTTTCTGTGTGTCTCCTCCTCTCTAAGCATATTTCTTTATCTCAAGGGTTTATACATGTGGAGTGTTTAAGTTGCAAAGCATATTGTTGAACTTTCCGATTTCACTATTTGCAGGTAAAAACAATAAACCCCTAAAGCATATCCTACAGCGAATGCCCGCCCAGTTGATGGTAACGACTCTGGGTCTTCTTCAACAAACCGCCAAATGCTTTTCATGTTAATAAGTCTAAGTCTGTGTTTCTTTTTACTCAATTTATAATGTAGTATGTGTATTGATCAGATCAGCTACCAAAATGTTGAACAGGTTTGTCTCTGAGTTTATTGTGATGGCTGTCGGTGCTGAGCCTCTAGATATTCTTCTGCATCTTCCCCTGCCTGCTGATGACAAGGTACTTAGCTTTTTAATGTTTCTTTTTGGTACCTGGAAAATAGGCTGGCTTTGTTTTAGTTTATTTAAATGATTGATTGTTTCAAGGAGAATGCAGTGCATGTATGATAATGATATATTGGGAAATTGTTAGTTGTGTTTGTATTTGAAAAATTGCTTATTCTCGATTGAGCTACATGTTTAATGTCTGGGGTCTACTGTCTTCACATAGTCCATATTCATTAGCATTTCATTTTGTTGCTTCTTATTTTCTTTTCTGGATCTAAGTCTTATGTTTAATATGGATTGTCTTTTCATATAATGTAATGCAAGTGTTTTTAAGTGGTATTCCCATTGGATGAGCTGAGTTGCATTAGCAAAAGAGAAAAATGATCTTATGGATAATATTTTATTTGTTTTCTTTGTGGGCAAAGGAACAGACTGTTGCATATTTGCTTACGCTTGTTGCATCAATTGAAAAGTAAATAGTTCTGAGCCTACTTATCGAAATTTTATTGTGTAGCTAAGACTTTATGCTAGGCTCATGTCGTATTGTTCAAACTTGGTTGTGATTATGTTCCTAAGTACTACATGTTTAACCAGTGGATTACATGAAGGGTCTCTGCTGGTTAGGTTACAAAGCTTTTATCTTGAATGAAATTGTGATTTGGAGCGAATATACTCTCCTTCTACTTATTCATTTAGTCCATTCTTTAAGAGCATCATCCTTTGATGGTCTTCCTAGATTAACATATGTGAGCAACCTTTGATATTCCATTGGATTTCTGGCATACTTTTCTTCTGAGCTTCAAGGCATATGGTAAACCAATGTCAATGATTCATTTTTTCCATTTCAAGGACTCAGACGAGTTTTGATTATCTGTGAAAAATACTAATAAAGTAAAATGAATAGCATGACTTGTTAACAACTCCAACTCTGTTCTTCAGGCTGAGCCATGTTTCTCTTAATTGTTTAAGGTGATAACATGTGCTTTTCAATTTGTCTGAATGCACCCTATGTATTTGCTCCTTCAAAGCAAGCGCTTGGTTGGGCATGTGGAGTCATAAGGCCTGTCATTGCTGCTTCAGCAACCTCAAATGATGGAAGCCATTTTGAAAGCTAAATTCAACAACTCAAGGTACTTTCATGTAAGCAACTATGTGCGTTTATGTTTGTGAGATACACGATGCCATTTAAAAGATGTTAATATGGTGTATTATCAAACTTGTACTCAGTTTGATGGGTCTCTAGGATTGTGCTAATATTACACCTTTAGGGGCTTTGATGTACCACTAAAAGATGAAGCATTCTGGTCTTGACATATATAGGATTTTATACTTAACCCTATTTGGAATGTGCAGAAGAATTCTTCTGGAAGTAAAATGATTCTAGAAGCTTTTTTTGTAATGTGTTTAATTCTCGATTTCACATGATCCTGATAAATTCAAAGAAGAATTAAAGAAATATTATGAGACACTTACACCTTTCTCTTTCTCAAAATTATTATAAAACTCCAACTCTTAATGAAAAATATCAAGGCTCTGTTCAAAATAGATACAAATCTTTTACAAAATTTATTTCTAAATTTAAATTTATTTCAATAATTGGCCACCACCATTTATGGCCTTGTTGATTTATTGCCACAAGTTGCAAATGTCAATAACACCAGCAAGACGACAAGCTTAGGTTTCACTGAGTTTCTATACATACTATTATGTGCACTTTCTAGGGCTTGTATGACCAAATTCAGGCTTGGACAAATAAAAGTTCATGGAGACTTTTATATCATGGAAAAAAAATCTAAGATGATATGGTTGCATATAATCAGGGTGATTTTATCTCTTTTTCACTGTTATCTACTGAAAACAGATTTCAAATCTGTACTTCATAAACTTAATGGTTAAAAGTATTGCAATCCACTCCAAATTTATGTAATACCAGAAGAAATTTGTAGCTTCCTTGAAAATTGAAGTTATTCAAGGTGGTCATGAGGCTTCACAGACATGAAAATTGCAGCATACTGTCTTAGTACCGGCACAGGAGGAATTAGTAGACTTGCAGTAGTCCTCTTGTAACGCTGCCAGGCGAGTTGTATGGTGATGGCAGCCCATGTCCGCCAGTTTGAAGAATAGTATCTTGCTATTCTCTTAATTCTTCCATTGGCAAAGCTATACCTAAAATGGTCTGTTATAAACTGAAGCTGTTTGAAATCAAGAGCAAACACTTCTGTTGAGTGTAAGCTCACAAATGTTGCTGATGCCGGTGGAAGTCGCTCCATAGATGGATGGCGAAGACACCAGGAGAGTAGCTCATCTCCAAGAAATCCTCCAGTTTCAAGGATATTTGAGACTACTGTGTCTTTACTAAGTCTCTGGCTGCGTTTTACACGGCCGCAAACTATGAACATCATTTTTTGGACTGGATCTCCTTCTTTAATTATCTGCAACATGAGTATTTTTTTTTTCTCAATTGAATTGAATAGTCATTAAATTTTTATGTAGTAATAACAAATTGATTAATACCTTTTCATCTTTGGAGAAAATCAGTGGCTCAACTCTGTCACATATATTATCAAGAATGAGGTCATCCAAGTTATGGAACAGAGGTACCTAAAAAGTTGCAAATAGAGAAACTACTAGGATAAGTTTTGGAACATGCTCCTACAAAAACTTTAAAGATCATTTAAAGCCTCCTTCTAAAAACCAAGATCACTGTAAGATAGAGAATATAATAGGGTATAATAGAATACATATGTTATCTATATGTGATATCTAGATTCGATTTACCTGTTTGATAAGATCTAGGCAAAGATAACGTTTGATGTCTTTACGAAGTCCATCAGGTAACTCTTCGATCCATTTAACCTCTTCTTGTCCTCCTATCACTTCCCATTTATGACTTTCATAGTGTCGTACTCGTTGCCTCAGGTTATAAGGCAACTGCCTTCTTCTCATCCACCATTCAATATCACTTCTCCTCAACTGCATCTGTTCTTTCTTCATCGTGACCACTTGCAAGAAAATCTTATAACAACATCAAGTCTTTGAAACCGTTAGACAACAATTTAAAATCTAAACGTGTTACTGAATAAAGTTAAGAGAGAGAATAAGATCCAGTAGCTATGCACCTGGATGTTTCCAACTAATAACGTGAAGAGCAGTAAGCCACAAAGTACTATAAATATGCTGAATATCACTTCATCCAATTTGCTTGTTGGTATAAGCACATTACCAAAAGAGCTGTCAAAGATTATTTTTAGTACAATGAGTATATCCTCATACATACCAATATTTGTTCAGTTTGTAAATATATGTAAGTCTGAACAACTAAAAAAGCTTAGTAATATGGTGATATTAATGATTGAATCTATTAGTATAAGCATATTTTGAATTACCTGAGATTGATTAATCTCCAATAAATTATCAGGCTTAATAATCTGAATAAGTTTATAAGTTATCAAGCTTATTAGTATAAGCACATTACCAAAAGAGCTGTCAAAGATTAGTTTTACAACAATGAATATATCCTCAAACACAATCAATATTTGTTCAGTTTGTAAATATATGCAAGTCTAAATAACTAAAAAAGCTTAGTAATATGGTGATACTAATAGCTAAATCTATTGATAAAAATCATGTACTAAAAAGATGTAACTCAATGTTAACTTTGATAAATCTTTCATTTTGAATTACCTGAGATTGATTAAGCCCCAATAAATGGGATAAAGGATCCTAGTTGCTAGTGAATTGCTGGAAATGACTTCAAGCACAGGTTCATAAATTCCATAATTAAATGGTCCATCCTCATCCAAACAAATCGATGTTTTGAGCTTTGTTATGTTGCTAACGAACGAGCCTTGCAATAGCTTTGTTGGTGACAAAAATTGGTTATAAGCATTCGAGCAAGAGCATAGATTGAGATTGTAATGCATATTTTGCTCATAATGTTGCTTGAGACACGAAAAAACACGTCCCGTTGCAAGAATGTACCAACAGCCTCCTATAATCTGCAATGATGAGAGAAATGAAATATTTGCCTTTGTAACTGGTAAAGTTAATAATGTATAAAGGTTTTAGAGTATGTTACATGGGAGGAAATCAAATAGGCAACAAGATTAATGCTAAAACCCCACCAAACAGTGCCAAAGACATATCCTGTTACTTTCCTCATTTTCCTCATCAAGTAGAGGCCATGATAGACCTTAGGGAGAAATTGAAACAAGAATATTAGAAGCAACATTGTCATCATCAGCTTAAATTTTTCTTCTTTGATCAATTTGGGTATTACCAACCAGAATACTGCCTGCAAATTATAATCACCAATAAGTAAATAACAGATGTTCTTTATGAATTTCTAGCTTTTCATAATAATATCTTACAAGTTTTGAATATTAATAACTTAAACTAACGAATACGTGTTAATGCAACATTATTCAAATACTTATATATAAGCTTCAATGTTTTTGTTTAACCTAGAAGATGAAGATTCTTTTAATTTGCATTTAGAAATATCTCGTATTCCACATTCATTCGAGAAAAAAACACTTGCAATCTTTTAATTTGAATTTTGTGCAACAAAAACAAATTACTTTCACCATTAAACTTAATATTGAATTCTAAATGTATTTTTTTTTTTAATATCGACACCCATCTTTGAAAATATAAAAACATTATGTGTGATACTCTAATTCTATATCAAAAAGAGATGTAATTGTTGAACTTTATATAAATATCAAGTAATATATGACTGATAGATTGATCTTGAATTTTTGAGAGTTAATGATTTGCGTCTAAAAAGTTATTAAGTTAGTAGTTTTTGAATCTAAAGTCTTATAAATGGTGTTGTACTACATGCTAGCTCGTGACTCCAAATTAATCCAATCTTAGATTTACGGGCTTTTGGATTGTGGTTATAATGTATGACTATGATAATTATATAAAATGGTTTAAGTAATGGAGATTGTGATTCTCTAGTCTGGTATTAGAAATATGTATGATTGTTGAGTTCTATATAAAGTCACAAGTCGTATATTACTAATTGCTTGAACTCAACCTCAAGTTTTTGAATATTGGTTTGAGTACGAAATGTTGTTAGAATAGTGATACTTGAGTTTAAAGTGTTGTAAATGATATGTTTTAGGTTGGCAACTCTAGGTTGACACAATCTTAGATGTTGAGGGGTTTTTAGATTGTGATTTGTGATTGTGACATGTGACATTGATAATGACATCAAGGATTTGAACTATGGATATTGTAATATCATAATCTCACATAAAAAAAAATATGTGATCGTTTAATTTTACATAAAAGACTCAAATTACATATTACTAACAAAATTAAGCTTGAGTTTGTGAGGATTGGTGACT